TGACATCTCTCTGCCCAAACCTTTTGCCCCTTTTTCCACTTTTCAGAAGTTGTATGATTATGTTGGACATGCTTGGATAAATTACAATAAGCTCTCCATTGAAAAGCCAGCGGACTAGCAGCTTGAATTCCATCTGTAGCTTTTATTCACTTTTTCGGCTGTAGGTAGTAAACTTATGGAATCAGAGACATTATAATAATTTAAATGACTATTTTTATTGTTCAATTTTGTTGCAAGAATAAGACACTTGCTTTGATCGCTCAAATAATAAATGTAAGATAGATTGTATGAAAATTCTTTTTTTAAGGAAATATCTTTTTGAGGAGACTCTGTTTTAGCTACACAAATACATTTACAAACATTTCCAGAAAGCATGAGCAACTCTCATAAGAAGAAATTATGATTAAACATACAACAAAGAAGAAGCAAATAAAATTGTGTATGTGTGTTTGTATCTATTCACACATATTCAACCAGAGCATGATGTCCTAATTATTGATTGTTGAAAAATGAAACAAAACTGCTGATTGCTTCATCTTCTTCTTCTCTCCCTTTCTCCCTGACTTGCCCCATGCCCCAATGTCCAGTGAAATCATATTTATGCTGATGGCTCAACAGAAGTCACTTTCACTCATTTCCTTCCAGTAGAATAATCAGTAAACCACAGCAAGTTAGCAACATTTAAATCTATCTTTACATATCAGGTTTCCCAATCATTAGTTGTATATGGAAGAATGGTTTGTTAGTGTACATGTACACACTAAATGCACAGGTCTAAATCATGTCGATGCTGCTCAACTTAGCAAATTCTTGTCTGGATTAGGGTTCTCAAATCTTCTGACTTGTCAAGCAAAACATTTATGTATCAAAAAATGTTTTGGTCAACAATGAAGAATGGCAGTGGTTCCATAATAGTATCATGGATCTGAAAAATTCCTTTTTGACACAATTTGATTGCTCATTGTAACATCCTCCATGCCTCTTCTTTTTATTTTTTATTGGTTAGGTTTTTGGTCTTTTCCCAGTCTTCAGACTTTCAGTCTCTACATAGTTTAAACTTTGATATATTTCTGGGATCAAGTCATTGGACTTATTTTCCCAATATCCTTAATTTTTGATGCTATCAACCCTGTGGCTTTAAAGACTGCTGGTGGGCCTGACAACTTCCAAGTCTACATGTCCATTCTGAACTTTCTCTTGAACTCCACAGGTAGACATCAAGCTTCCTACTCAGCATCTTCATTTGTACATGTTATACACATTTAAAAGCTAACATTCTCTTTATTCAGCTTCTGATCTCAT